GTAAGCGTAGGGTGGCGTACGGCCGCGTATTCCCATAGAGAAGGACGGGGGCTGCGTACCTACTAATCACATGCAGCACCTGTCCTTCCCGGTATCTGCCCGATACGGCCGTGCACGCAGCACAGAGCTGTACATGTCGGCCTTTTCTCGTATGAATGGGGCCTTCATGTAAACTAAGCAATGTTTACACTGGTCTGGGTCAGCCATGCCAGCTCTCCAAGCAAAAGGAAAGACAAGGCAGAGATTAGAGGTTGCATTTGCAGGGTTGCTCCCTGAACACTACAGGTCACTTCAGGCCTGAACATTATGTTTTTGGGATAGAAAGGACAAAAGTTTTTATGGTTGGGGAGATTTCCCCACTTATTTCTCTTTCCTCAGATTGGACTCTGAACCATCTCATTACAATGTATATTTGCTGGCCGGTCTTTCATGTCCATGTTCAGCCTTTTTCCCACATTTGCCTTTTATGGTAGAACATTAAAGACTCAGAAAAAAATTCCAGAGGAGAGCAAATTAATTGACTTCAAAACTGTCGACATATAAAACCTATATATATATAATATATAATAAGAGCGCCAGATTCATAGCCAGATATTGGTTAAACATTCCAGTATAGACCTTTTTAAATGAAATATTTTAACAAACAGAGTAAAAACATACCACCCCACTTATCAGCGATACTGTTACAGAACTGCAGGAAGAAAATGTGATGTTCCAAAACCCCAAAAGCCTATTCATTTAGGATAATGAGCAGAGCCAAGCACATTATTCCTTTATACCCCTGACCAACTGTCCATCCAGAACCGCCATTTATAGACCAGATAAATCCTAAATATAGAGCCATTTATCCAACTGTCCATCCAGAGCCGCCATTTATAGACCGGATACATCCCAAATATAGAGCCATCTATCCAACTGTCCATCCAGAGCCACCATTTATAGACCGGATACATCCTAAATATAGACCCATTTATCCAACTGTCCATCCAGAGCCGCCATTTATAGACCAGATACATCCTAAATATAGAGCCATTTATCCAACTGTCCATCCCGAGCCGCCATTTATAGACCGGATACATCCCAAATATAGAGCCATCTATCCAACTGTCCATCCAGAGCCGCCATTTATAGACCGGATACATCCTAAATATAGAGCCATCTATCCAACTG